GCTTCACCTAAACGAATGAAATTCTTATGTGGAACGCAGGTACGTATGCATGTCCATAATAAAACAACTATGCATTTTGCAGCAATTTGTTTATCTCAGATAAACGGAAACAACGTAATGGAGACAACGCACTCTACAAATCAACCAGCAAAACGTTCTTGACGAAAATTTTCGAGAAGATCTTTTTTTTAGCTTGGATAATTCTTTTCGGAGCATTTATTAGTGCAGCAGGACGTTTATTTTCTTAATGTGCAAAGGTTCCGGATGTGGTCATTTAGTACTTTAGTAGTTTAGGTATATGTTCAGTTCGAATAGGGAACTTATGTCATTTTATGTTATAGTCTCCTAAATCTAAATTTTGCGTTTTCTTAACGTCTTTATAAATTGTTTTATTACTCTCTCTCTCTCTCTCTCTCTCTCTCTCTCTCTCTCTCTTTCTCTCTCTCTCTCTCTCTCTCTTTCTCTCATTAAATTATNTCTCTCTCTCTCTCTCTCTCTCTCTCTCTCTCTTTCTCTCTCTCTCTCTCTCTCTCTCTCTCTCTTTCTCTCATTAAATTATAAATATATTTTATTTTTGCGTCATAAAATATATTTTTTTCCTATTTTATTGAGTCAAAGTATACAAAATTATAGAATAAATAATTAATATAAATTCTAAAAGATAGTAAAAAGATATTGTGGGAAAATTATATTCTAGAAATAATAGCCAAACTTCATGGGATTTGCATGAACAAATTTCAACTTGTTATTCGATCTTTATGCAATAGGTTAGCGCATCTTAAGCAAAACAGGTTAAAATTTAGAAGAAAAATATCAATTTGTTTTTATGAAACAAAAGACAAAACACACTATTTATAAAGCTACTTATTACTCAGAAATAATTTTACATAAACGCACACATATACGAAGTTAAATAAACTTTTTACTACGTAAAAAAACATTAAAAACTTTCAACTGTCTTGATATAATATATTGAAAGAATTTTTGATGTGCAACTAATAACAAAGAAATGTGAGCTACTGTTTTCAAGGACGTGGCAGGTGAAGTATTAATTTGGAAATGTCTAGATGATTCGCGTGTGAGTCAGGAATGCGTCTCATTAAAATTGCAAAAGAAAAGACGTGAACTTTGGGTCTGGATCACAAACAAGTTTTTAGATCGGTTTGCCCGCGGCTACATACGGCAAATCGATACGTCTCGTAAAGTCTTTCGAAATCGGATGCAGTGTTGCTTTTTCAGGAACGGTCAAAAATCGATTGTTCTACGTAAGAGAGAAAGAGAGAGATAGAGATAGAGGACGACAAACGAAGTGATAGCGGCGCGACGAGACATTCTAAATATAATTGGAGTCCGACTTCAGCACATTGAATAAATGAGATATGTCTGTCGGCGAATCAATCATCTTCATTTAGTTATCCCGATTTCGTAGTCCACGATAAGTCTCGTCGACGAGAGCATCGTGCTACATTGCCCCGCTGTTTTCAACTTTCCGCGACCGCCAAAAATAGTTTGCACATTTCCTTCTTTATGAATGAAGCTGGAAAGTCGAGGCGAGAAAGACATGCTTATTATCTTTATTCTTCTAATTGCGAAATAAAAAGATTTAGTGCATTTCGACAAAAAGATCAAAGGAAATGAGATCTTAATAAACAGTTCTGTCCTTTCGTATTGACGTTATTTTCGATGTTAAGCACGGTGTGATTACTCTTTTTCGATCAAACAAACCAATGAAGACGTGATGAGGTATTGCTGATGCAAATTTCGGGCATGGAAGCCCGAAGGATGCATCGAGGCTGCACCTGTTGCATCGAATGCGAATGTTAGTAAATGTTGTATATCTCCTTCACCAAGTCCTAACAAGTAGTTCGGAAAATTGTGGCTTATGATCGATTCTAGTATTTAAAAATACAACGTATCAAACCAATAATAATTTTAAGACATCAAAAGAACGCGTTGTAGCGCACTTATCAATGCAAATGTAACCCTAATATAAATTGATGTGATAGCTTTAATTAATGTATAGATATAAATGTTATAAATACTAAACTAATATTATAATATAGCTATATAAACGCTATTTAAATGCACAGTACAGTTTAAAAATGTATTAAAATCGCAGAATGTTTCTATTAATATTGATTGAACTGCAACAGTCGTTATCGGAAAATTCGTCAGTCAAAAACTACATTTTTATAAACATAAATAGATCACCAACTTCCAACATTATAAAAACCATAAATTCACAAATATATGCGTGCGCGCAATACGCCACACATACAATACATTCATTTTTTAACTTTACTCCTAGTTAGAGCAATTAGAAATATCGGTTTTTTGTACATTACTACTACTTGCCAATATATTTGTACAAAATAAAATATATTCATTGGCAAGAACATGGCGATGATTACTTCACAATATATTGCTAATTAGATCTCTCGCCATATCAAAAGCTTGATCGCACGATCGATAGATCGATTCATAGGAATCAACGTTTCTCAGATGCTTTCACCGGAATATCGTAAATTAAACGGGGAAATTAGCAGCGCGTTGTAGCTCGACGACTTTGCTAGCTATATTTTGTTATTTCCTAACCCGTGCATGTCTACTTTCGCTGATCGCTTCATCGTTTTGCATGATTAGAAACTTTCGCATTTTTCTTCGGTTCGGACAAGCTGTTGATCAGCAACTTCCAAATTTGAAAGAAATATCAGCGTATAAATCTTGGTTGTAAATGTATGTTATCTAGAAATAATAACTAAACAAGTCGTAAAATTTGGGAAAGAGAAATCTACATGTCGTAAAAACTTGATGTTTTACTTGTTAATAGATCAGTGGTGCTCACTTGATTGTTTTGGGAGGAGATTGTGTTTACCATGTAATGTATTACATTGAGTGAAATTGCACAAAAAAAGTTTCATTTAAACCTTGTATCGTGACAACACTGCGTCGAATCGTCTTTTTTGCTTTCTTTTCTCCCTTATTTTGTTTAGCAATCTCATAAAATATTGCAACATGACTTGGGATGAACAGTCCCCGAATGAGTGTACGTAAAGTACAACGATTACCTCAGGAAGAAGACCGGATCGTCTCGATACTTAGGAAGCTGCCGAAGATGCCTGAAACTGGAGATGCGAAAAACCGTAACACATAGCAAAACTTCGTGGACTACCGCAAATTTATGTACGCCGGCATCGCGTTGGGATACGCGCGCACACGAGATTTATCGGCGCCTGGCCGAGTTTAGGTAAGTTGAGTGAATTGTAAATGTTTCCGGCAAGAGAACTTCACACCAAGATGGCGTACCTCCACCGACGAGGGCGAGTTTGTTTACGCCTCATGACTCCCCACGTGGGAAAGACAGCATGGCGCGCGTCACGGCTTCAAACGCACAAATCGTCTCAGCCTGATGCGGCCTCGGCCGCTTCACCCATCTGTCGGGAGATTCAACGCAATGGCGTGCGCGTCTTCGACCTTACTCAACAAAGGTGAAGATAGTAAGCTTTCAGTTTTTCGGACAATAGATGTCGTAAAATATTGTAAAAAGAAGCTGATAAGACTTTTATTCGAACAAGTCTCATAGAAAGAAGCAACAATTTATTCCTTTTTTATTGCGTATTTTAGTGTTGTTTATTTTATATATAGTTATGTAATTCTATATACAGAATAGATTGAAGGAAGTACTCAAATTTTAAGAGAAAATATAATGACTCTATTTTCACTCATCTAATATATCTGGCACTATTTTTTGTCTAAACTCAGAATGTTATCTTGTACCCAAAATAAACATTTTATATATTTTTTCAAATCTACATTTCACAAGTTGCTCATAAAATCCGAAAATACAAAGGTGTACTCAAGAAAACGAGTTTTATTGATATTTTTTCCTATTATAAAAGCATTCTAAAAAGTCCTGACCTCACTAAGTCGCATAAATTTATATGTTGCATTTCGCGTGTACCAAATTTACTCAACAAACAAAGCTGTACAAATTACATCTATAAACAACAAAATAGCATTTTATTCAATTCTTAATTTATTATCAGCGATTGAGAGAAACATAGATTTATAGAAAAAATATGTATACAGAGAAATATCTCATATCACATGTACATACATATATATTTTAGATGAAATATGTTTTAATAGGTTAAAATTATAACTTGCCAATAAATTATATAAAATTTTTTGTGTTGAGTACACATCACCGCAACGCAAAAAAGATATTTCATGTTTTTTAATCCTTACATTAAACATTTTCCGTGGGATAATATCCACCATGTACGACAGCGGTGTAACTTAGGAACTCTGGCAATGAAGGACGCGTGAACGCTAAATTGGCCGTAAAAGGCATTCTACGACTTTATGAAAACTCTCTTACGATCGTCTAGACATTTTCTTTGTTTTTTTTCTTGTTTTAATTAATCCATAAACACACGCTGTACAGAAATACAATAAATTGCTGTCATGCGCATCAAAACTTTTTCCTTGGCACAATAATACTTATGATAGTCATCGACTAGCAGTTCAATCAATCTCGCTGTGTCACGCTAATTAAAGTTTCGTGTCAACTATTTTTTTAAGCAAAACGTAAATCATATCAGGTAGAGATAAATGGCTAATCCAGCGCGTGGAATTTCCCGCGATTATTCTCGAAATCACGCCGCATTCCACGTGGTATTCCACGTGGTGGCTTCACGAGTTTTGTTGACGAATCAACGACAGTGGAACGTCTTGGTCGAACTTTGTCAGTCTTGAATTTTTTCATTTTACACAATAAAAACAATCAACAATTTTAATCCGATTAAATTTTAAGTAATCAACAAATTTCTTATTTTACAAAGATGCATTGGTAACTACTTAAGTATTCTTACTCGAAGAAGAAACTTGAGGAACTTTATTGGATTTTTGGATCATCGCCTTTCCGTTTGATTTAATCGGCAAATTTCTTCCACGTTCCACCGTCGCTGCTAAATCTGTGTTGGCATCTGTCCACTCACATTTCATGCGTTGCGGTGCGTGCTGTTTCCTTCGGGGCATCTGCGTCCTTCGGGAGTGCTCGAGTATCCGTGCGGCCTCCAGTTCTCTTCGCCTTGGCTGCGAATCGGTTGGTCCCCAAGAAGTCAGGCAGTTGAGAGCACCGACACTACTTCAAAAAGTGTTTTCCTCCGAAATAACTACCTAGGATAGTTCGCCTTCTCTTCTGTTACACACTTGTGGTCAGCCAACCGGGCACGTGTCCCACTACCTCATTGTGATAGCTGACGACCCGCTCGTCGTCAATGACGTAATTGTTGCGATTGTCGTCATTCTATTCAGAGCCTACCAGCACCTGTGTATCTGCGATACGTTCACGCGGAACTAATTGCAAACCGAAACGACAAAAACACGTGTAGTGCGACCGGGGAACATGAAGTTCCAGGATCTCTTTAATTCTTTCTCTCTCTCTCTCACTCTTGCGATTTCATCTATGCTCGCGTTGTATTTCGGAGCAACCAATGTTGATGACCCCGCACGTTCACATATATATATTGGCAAATAAATATTAATTATTCCCGCGCTTATTGTGTTCGTCACTACATTCTTTGCCAATATTATCACACTGAAGTATGAATAATTCTTTGTCTCGTGATATCGGAGCAATCACTCCAAAACGTGGACCATCTCTATTGTGCACCGATCCTTGTGGCTCAACACTTTTCTCTGTAAGTAATCATCAGTCTCACTCGTCACTTTCCCGATCGGACGCCATTCATACCGATACGCGATCCTCGCTTCCGACGACCGCTATCGAAATTGCGTCAAAGCTATCTCGCGAATAGATCGGTAAAATCCAGATTATCGCGTGATAGCCTCTACAAAACGTGTGAACCGCTCCGCGTACGTGAATGCAAAAGATTTTAAATAAAAAACAGAAAAAATTGAAAAAAATGAAAAAACTGGATAGATAACGAAACAAGCGAATGCACATGCATGTGATAGAAAGCAAGAAAACGCGGTGGCAGAAAGAGCGAAAGAAAAGAAAAAGATTTGTAGAACAGAGAGATAGGGTGAGACAGAGAGAGAGAGAGAGAGAAAGAGAGAGAGAGAGAGAGAGAGAGAGAGAAAGAGAGAGAAAACGAGTGAGTGAGTGAGTGAGAGGGAGGGAAAGAAAGAAAGATTCGGAACGCAGCAGACGGAAAAGAAGCGGGGAGGAGGTGGAGGTGGAGGCTACCGTCGTTCGTGGATCGCGAAATCGAGCGGGCGGCGGTCCAGCGCTGACTGACTACGGACTGGCGTCGCGGCGGCAGGCCGTGTGGTGGGGGAGACTCCAGGAGTAGTAGTAGTCCTCTTTCCCTCCTCCCCCTCCTCCTCTTCCTCCTCCTCCTCCTCCTCCTCCTCCACCGCCTCCTCCGCCGCTCGTTCTCGTTTCCTCGCTTGCCCGTTCTTCCTTGCTGGCATCACTTGCGCTCGGCGACCTCTCCTTCCCGCCTTCCGTCGCCCTCGTTCTTTCTCATGTACGCGGTCGCGATCGCGTTCGCGGCGTGCGGCTCGCGAACGAAGCGGCCGACGAGGCCGCGGTGGTCACGACGAAGAGTGGAAGGGGCACGGGAAGAAACGACGGTGGGACCATGCACCACGGCGAAGAGTGCGCGTAGTGAATGAGTGAAGCCGTGGGGGAGGAGGAATCGTGCGCCTCGTTCTCCGTCTCGTTCTCGGTTTATCCATACATGCACATCGCGACGCGCGAGGGGACTTACGCTGTTGCAGCGGCGGCGCAAAAGCCAGCCACTCTCGTCTGTGGATGCACCGAACGCTGGCGGATGCGCTGCTCGCCGCAACGTGGCACCCACGCGTCCCTCGTGACGGATCCCGCGATTTTCCACGTTCCCGCTTTTTTTACAGGACGTTTCGCAACTCGTAGATATTTCGAAGAGAACTATGAGAGATACTGAAAGAAAAAAGTCGATTTCTATATGAGACAGGGCCCCATGACAAATCTATGGGACTACAATCGCGCTCGCGCATACAGGGGGAGGTCGGAAAAGGAGGCGGGGTTCTCTACTACATCGGCCTGCGCGAGGGAGGTGCACGGGGAAACGCTGTTCTGGCTACAATAGTTCCTATCATCGACACAGGAGGCGCTACTGCACGTGCAGTTACGGTGCTACGGTGACGCAAGCCGCACCTAGGAGTTTCTCGTTCATTTCCTCGGGAACTTTCGCGTCGTAAGCTACTACTGGTCGGGGTAAGTACTCGATCAGTGTTGTCTGTTACCGAAATAAAACTGTATTTCAGGAAAGGATTAAGGAACTTTGTTATTGATTATATTTCGAGTATTTTTAAACCTAACCTCTAAAATATAAAGTACAAATTGTCTTCATACACGTTGCGTATATAAGCGTAATTTTGATATAGTGAGCGACATAACATTATCTTTGATTTATATATAGATGATGTAATGGATGTTACTATAGTACTAGGAAACATTTATTAAAAACCTGAATATCGATCGTTATGTGTGATTCTTCATTGTTACCGACTGTCAAAAAATAGGGAATTGTTAACAAGTGTTTACAATCTTAAATAAATTATATATATTTGAGTTTTCTTATGAAAAACACTTTCTAATCTATGATTTCTTAAGAAGATTCATTCTTCATTTTTGACCTTATCATTCCGTTTCTTTCTTTTTCAATTACTTGTTTTTTCTTTGTGATTTTTCCCAAATCTCTTTTAAACCCCAAAACAATCCCAGAAAAAGCACTATTTTTAAAGAAGTCCACGATGCACATTTCTGGCACAGCAAAACTCGTTTTGGCGGGTACCGGTGGAGGCGCTGGCAACATTGCAGCGGTGTTGCGGAGTGAACCGTACCAACTGGCGGGCAGTTCCCGCCTACTAGGCGGAGCTCGCATGATCTATAGCGTCATAGAACATCCCTGCCGCTGTGGTAGGAATCGAACGGCAACGCCCACGGCTTGGAACGTGCGCGCTGCACCCCCGCTGCCGTCGTTGCCGCCACCACCGGGGGCCGAGGATGTTTATGCTTTTGCTGCCGCGTCTCTATCTAGTTGTGGCCCTGGCACTGTGCTGTTTCTCTCCTCTTGTCGTCGTCGACGACGACGACGACGACGACACCGCTATTGCTATCGTCGGCATACGCTGGCTTATCCTTCGCTCCTACCATTCGGCGCACGCGTTCATTACTGCTAAACATTCTTGTCAATTAAAAGTGCTCCGACGCCCAATTTACCGGCGGTCGTCTGTCGTTCTTGCAGCGAGCTTGCTCCGCGGATCGGATATTAACGATGCTAGCCATGGATGTTTTGTTCTTCTTTTTTTGTTTTTTAGCACTCTTTCTACTCGGATTCCCGGGCAGAAGGGCATAGTCGTACTTATGGGCTTTTCGTTAGCGCGCGCATGCAGATGTACCTTGGTTTACGATTATGGCGTTGGCTCTCATTTTCGCGGAGACCAAAGAGTTCCACACAGGGGGGTATTTCTTTCCCGCAATGCAATATTACTTTTTTAAGGGGCGATATGTCGATAGATATGCAACTATGTTTTCATGGAAAGTTATATAAAATAGTTAACTTATTCGTAGTTTATATTCTTGTAATTTTATCATATAACTGAGACTTATACTGACGTGAATTCTCACGTATAGATATGATTCTTTGTTTTACATAGCGAAAAAATTCTTCTTTTTATTAGTTTTGAAATATAGATACAAGCACTAGAGATAGAATTTTTCCAAACGTTTATATTTGTTTTGTGAACACAAACTGCATACATAAGAGCAAATCACACTCGAGTTATTATTTCTAATTGTGAGATCGCGTAAGTTTCATTTTAAAATTGTTTGTCGGCAAACATTTATATATCTTAGCTTTTGGGATCATCTTTAAAATTCTGACAAATAGGATATTACAAAGAATACTTTATTTCAGCGACAGTCGTGTCGTTTTCACAGCAGAGGTTCCTACTCGCATCAAGCCAATTCGACGACGGCGACGTTCGCGACGCGACATTTACGAGATCGTTTATTAGGTGATGTTCTCATCGGGCAACTTGGCTGCGGAGTGAACATTCGCTTGTTCTTTCTAGAAACCGTTTTCCCGACTGAGATCCATGCCATATTTGATCGCAAAACTTGACCAAATATCGGCAAAGTTTGCGAGACAAACAAAGTAGTAGTCAGAGACAATAAATATGGAGGCATAAATCACGGCCGAATGTAAAAACTTTCGCTTATCCACTTGCAGAAATTTTCTAGCACCAAGTTTTTATAAGATATAAAAAATGAAAAAATATTATTAATTTTATAACTTATATTTTATTTTCAAATGTTTGATTAATATTATTTATTTACAAAATTAAAATTGAAGCGGGCACATAATTTTTCGTTATTTTATTTTTATCAAAAGAAAGTCTCAGTTTCTAAGAGACCATCTCGTACAAAACATATAAGTTCTATACGAATTTCTCGAGTGTTGCAATGTAAGATTCATTCGCAATACAGAATTCGTATTTGGCTCAAAGAGGTGAAAGGCTAGCCGAGTGTGTCGACAACAACGTCCGCTTGTCGAAGAAAGTACGTATCTCGCAGTCACCTTAGATTCATGAAATAAATTCCTCAATAAATCATTAACTTGTATGTTTGACTGCTCTCATAACTTTGCAATAACTTTTCTCTGCGCGGAACGTTCTGTCCAGGCTAATATTTCTTCGGACGTCTTACCAATAGCAAACTTTATCTAGCCAGCGCACAACTCACAGCATTGTATACGATCAGTACGAGTCAAAAAATAATATGAACGCGTTTCCCAAAAAAAGACAACTACAATTATGATTATGCATGCACGTTCTAGTTTAATATTTTTGGTGTCTTTTTGAAACATAAAATTATTTTTAAAACCTCAGTAGAGAATGGTCTCTCTGAAATATATATTTGTTGTTTTATCTTCACGATTACAAGTATTCCTAAAAACAATATTTTTTTTGTTAATCAACGACAAAATAAACCTTTTTGTGCAATTCCGCAACGTCATGGTCAGCGATGAGCGGCTGAAAAACGGTTTCGTGTGCATGTACAAGGAGTGAAATGCATCTGTGTCTCCTTTTGCTGACTGCGGGGGTTCCTTTTACGAGCGCGCTACCAATGTCGGTGGACGCATCCGGAGATACTAAACTTACGAATATTTCGAAAGGCGTCCCGTTATGCAACCGACAATGTGGGTCACTGCACAAGTCCGTCGTGCGCGCGTATGGTTCCATGTGTAACTATGTGTGCATACGTACTTGGTCTGTACAACCAGCTTCCCTGCGGGATCGAAATAAGTGCGCCTCGTAAAATCAACTAATACTGTATGTCTTTTTTAAGAGCTATCGCGGCGGCTAGCGCCTATCTCTCGACAATAACGCGACAATTTTAGATCTTAAATATGTCCAATTTCGCGTGAATGTAGCAAGCGTATGTAGACCGTCAGTCTGATTCGTCAATCTGTCAGACAATGACAGGAGATTTATTTGATGTAACGCCGGTGTTTTGGATAATATACGATTTTGTCATTGAGAGAGAGAAAAGTTATCGCAAACTGACAAAAAAACAAGTTAAACATTTATTTGAGGAAGTTATTAATAAGAATTTATTCTGAGAATGTTCACATTCGCGATGCGACATATTTTTCAATGTTTAAAAAACTCCTAACGCAACGGCGCAATAAGTATCGCCTAGCGAATAGCGAACTGACATTTGCGTAGGTGGTCATGTTTGTGTACGTGTCTCTATGTGCGTGATCCACGCATAACACTATACGACGAACGCAACGTACACGATTCGCGTGTACACGCTTGAAAATAGATCTACTATCGACATTTCGCTTCTCGCGGCCATAAATTCGGCCGAAAAAATTGCGTATACGAAATAGTTTACAGACGTCGATTGCCGCCGTTTAAATACTCCGCGTTTGTTGCCGAGTTGAATTGCATCTGCGCGAGTTACAGGCTTTTACATTTATTTTTTTTTTATCATGTTCAGCATGTGTACTTGTTGTTTTTTTTTCTTTTTTTCTTTTTTTCTCTCTACTTGTCTTTTTTTCTCTTTCTCTCTTCTCTTTTCTATTATATTTTTAAAGTTTTGTCAATTTTGTCAAGAAGAATTTTTTGATGTTACATATTTTTTATTCTTAAATTTGTAATGAAGCAAATACTCTGATGATAGAAGAATTTGTGAAAGAATCGTTCACGGAGGAATAATTTTCAGACTTGTAGTAACGCGCGCCAATTGAACAAGAAGACGAAGGATGAGGGTTTTTCTTCCGTCCAACGCATCGCGTGAAGGAAGCGTCGCGAGGATTCCTCTCCCCTTTTTTTCTTTTCCCCTCAAATTCCACCTTTTCCCCGAGACCTCCATGAATTATCCCGCACTCGTTTCTCTCGAGCGGCGAAAAGAAAGTCGGTAAGCGAGAAGGGCGAAGAGAATAGAAAGGTTTGTCGGATTCGAAAGGAGGGACTAGAAGCGGGATGAGATGCGGAGGTCGCATTTCTTCAACAAAGTAACCTTCACGTAGTTCTCGAAAATAGCTCGAGCGAGCGATCGAGTCGGCGATTAGAATACCTTCGGGTGCCGGATGAGAGAAGATTGACCGAGACCGGAGGCGGCCTGTTTGAAAATAATTGCCGCGATGTTTCGACGTGGAGAAGTCGCAGACAAACCCCCCACGGTCCGTTTGTTAAGACTGCTTTTTTTTAGAATGCTGATAGACCTCGTCTATCGCGTCACTTTTAACTTCCAGTCTAAAAGTTCATAAGCTACATCTCGACATCGAGAGAAAAACACTTTTATTGGAGAATACTAATTAGTGTAATTGTTTTTTAAATTTCTTGAACTTTTATTTTTGGATGAAACTGTAAGATGTACAAAGTTAATCCAACCATTTGGTAGGATGCAACATCCTACCAAATATTACACTTTTTAACTGAAAGAAGATAGAAGAGAGAAAGTGAGAGAGAGAAAGAGAGAGAGAGAAAAAAAAAGATTTTCTTATACGCATGCTCTTTCTTTCTTCCGGTAAAAAATGCAATTTTGCATATGTTTTAAGATGATAATTTTTGAACAGCAGTTACTCTCTTACTCTATAGGTATATCTACGATATGTAATTTATCAGATAAAGCATGTAGGGAGAAAACACTATATAACCGCGTTAAATTCTTACATTTTTATTGATTATTTCTTATCTTTT